AGAGGAAATGAAGGCTCTCAGGGAGCGTCAGAGAGAGGAACTCAGTAAGGTAGCATCTCGCCACCCCTCACCCTCTACCCATGTGCAGGAGTCTCATTCTGTTGCCCAGGCTGGCATGCAGTGGCATTATCTCAGGTCACTACAACCTCTGCTCCCAGGTTCAAGTGATTCTCCTGCCTCAACCTCCTGAGTAGCTGGGATTACGGGTGCGCCACCACCTCACCCAGCTAATTTTTTTTTTTTTTTTTAAGTAGAGACAGGGTTTTGTCATGTTGGCCAGGCTGGTCTTGAACTCCTGACCTCAAGTGATCTGCCCACCTCGGCCTCCCAAAGTGCTTGGGTTACAGGCGTGAGCCACTGTGCCCAGCCCACCCTGTGTCTTTTTGTGGACAGAAGTTCTGGCTCCGTAGCCAGTCGAAGGGGCTCCTACCCAAAAAGCATGCTTTTTGGAATATGTGGGGGAACGTCTTCTTGCCAAGACCCCAGGTTTTTGCTTTTGAAGGGACATCTCGACTTTATGCTGCTTTCTGGGGGACACTACTTGATATTAGGATCAAAAGCACAGAAAAGGATGGTCCCACCAGAGCTGGGCGCTAGCAGCCTGAGTGATCCATGGGAAGAGCAAAAAGGAGAGTATGGGCTACGGGCCTCCAGGGGAGGAGGGAGAACCATGGAAAAGCCATTGACAGTGACATGGGCCTGGGCTCTGGGCAGGGTGACCTGGGACAGGGACAGGGAGGCCACCATGGTAGAGTTCTACCGAGCAGCTCAGACTCCTGGCTCTCGAGGGTGGCCAAACCCAATGTGGCCATGTGTCAGTCACGAACGAGAGGCTCCGTGAGCTCCAGAGCACGAACTAGCCACTTCGGAAATGTCCCCAGTCCTGCCAGCGGCATGCCCGACTCTGGACCTTTTGGAGATAAGAAACGAGTATTGGCCCAGCACGGTGGCTCACACCTGTAATCCCAACACTTTGGGAGGCCAAGGCAAGAGGATCGCTTGAGCCCAGGATTTTGAGACCAGGCTGGGCAACATGGTGAAACCCCATCTCTACAAAAAAACAATTAGCTAGCTGGGTGTGGTGGTGCATGCCTGTGGTCCCAGCTCCTCAAGAGGCTGAGGAGGTTGGATTGCTTGAGCCCAGGAGGTCAAGGCTGCAGTGAGCCATGTTTGTGCCACTGAACTCCAGCCTGGGGGACAGAGTGAGACCCTCTCTCAAAAAAAAAAAAAAAAAAAAAGAAAAAAAAAAAAAAGAAACAAGTGTCTACGTCTTGGCTCCATCTTCCTTTCTCCCTCCTCAGGTTACTTCCAACTTGGGAAAGATGATCTTGAAAGAAGAGATGGAAAAGTCATTGCCAATCCGAAGGAAAACCCGCTCCCTGCCTGACCGGACACCCTTCCATACCTGTGAGTGCTGTGGAGGGGACTCAGAGTCACCTGGCCAGAGATGGAGGCCTGACTCTGTGCGTCTGTTGACTTATGACACATACAGGATGCAATCCCTGACCCAAAGTATGGCTGCTCTCCTGGGAGCAAGACTCCCAGTCGTGGAACAATGTCAGATGATAAATGAGAGTATCGGCTAAAGCAGAATTCAGCAAGTCTGGTTTAATTGACAACCATTTATTGAGCGTTTACCATGTGCTAGGCACTGGGCATATAAGCAGGGAAAAAATCTAGTCTTGTCCTCTGGTAGCTTGTGGTCAGCAGGGAAACTGTCATGGAACCTGGGGTTTCGGTGCAGTGTGGCCGGTAGTGTGATCAAGGTGTGCAGGGTGCTTTAGGAGCACAGCAACAGGGCCTGGGAGGCTAAACTGAGGGGTTTTGTTGTTGCTGTTTGTTGCTTGTTTGTTTTATTGAGACAGGGCCTTGCTCTGTTGCCCAGGCTGGAATACAGTAGTGCAGTCTCAGGTCACTGCAACCTCCACTTCTCGGGCTCAAGCAGTCCTCCCACTTCAGCCTTCTGAGTAGCTGGGATTACAGGTGTGCGCCACCATGCCTGGCCAATTTTTAAAATCTTCTGTAGCAACAAAGTCTCACAATGTTGCCCAGACTGCGCTTGAACTTCTGGACTCAAGCAATCATCCTGCCTTGGCCTCCCAAACTGTTGGGATTACAGGTGTGAGTCACCATATCCAGCTTAAACTGAGTCTTGAAGGCTGAGACTCCAAGCAAGCCAGACAAAGTGAGTGGAAGACGGCATCGTAGACATTGGGAATGGTGTGGGAGTGAAATTTGAAACATGAAACCTCTGGCTGGCTGAGCCTCCAGAAGTCTGGAATTACAGAGCACAGAGCACACTGTGGGGCAGTGGGCAGTGCGGCCAAGAGACAGGGAGCGGGGCAGGCTTTGAATGCCATGGTCCACTATCCAGCACGCTACCCTGGACTTCCTCAAAGCTTGGCGACTGGAGAGGAGAGGGAGAGACCTGAAAACCCAGGAATGGAAGCTGCGAAGACTCTTAAAGCCTAAGAGGGGGCCCGGCATGGTGGCTCACGCCTGTAATCCCAGCACTTTGGGAGGCTGAGGCAGGCAGATAACAAGGTCAGGAGTTCGAGACCAGCCTGACCAACATGGTGAAAACTCATCTCTACTAAAAATACCAAAATTAGGCCAGACATGCTCACGCCTGTAATCCCAACACTTTGGGAGGCCAAGGCAGGTGGATCGCCTGAGGTCAGGAGTTTGAAAGCAGCCTGGCCAACATGGCGAAAACCCATCTCTACTAAAAATACAAAAATTAGCCAGGCATGGTGGCGCATGCCTATAATCCCAGCTACTTAGGCGGCTGAGGCAGGAGAATCACTTGAATCCGAGAGGTGGAGGTTGCAGTGAGCTGAGATCAAGCCACTGCACTCCAGCCGAGGTGACAGAGCGAGACTCCATCTCAAAAAAAAAAAAAAAAAGCCTAACAGGAAACCACATAGTGTCACTTCTGCATTGTAGCTACCAAAGCCAGTCACTGGCCGCCTAGACTCCTTCTCCTTCTCCTTCTCCTTCTCCTTCTCCTTCTCCTCCTCCTCCTCCTCCTCCTTCTTCTTCTACTTCCTTTTTTTTTTCTTCTTTTTTTTGGCAGGGTCTCGCTTTGTTGCCCAGGCTGGAGTGCAGTGGCACCATCTTGGCTGACTGCAATCTCTATCTTCTGGGCTTGAGTGATCTTCCTGCCTTGGCCTTCTGAGTAGCTGGGACTACAGGTGCATGCCACCATGCCCAGCTAATTTTTTTTTTTTTGAGACAGAGTCTCACTGTCGCCCAGGCTGGAGTGCAATGGTGTGATCTTGGCTCACTGCAACCACTGTCTCCCTGGTTCAAGCAATTCTCCTGCCCTAGCCTCTCGAGTACCTGGGACTACAGACACACACCACCATGCCCAGATAATTTTTGTATTTTTAGTAGAGATGGGTTTTCGCCATGTTGGCCAGGCTGCTTTCAAACTCCTGACCTCAGGCGATCCACCTGCCTTGGCCTCCCAAAGTGTTGGGATTACAGGCGTGAGCATGTCTGGCCTAATTTTGGTATTTTTAGTAGAGATGAGTTTTCATCATGTTGCCCAGGCTGGTCTTGAACTCCCGGGCTCAAGCAATCCTCCTACCTCGGCCTCCCAAAGTGCTGGGATTACAGGCGTGAGCCACTGCGCCCAGCCAAGACTCTAATTCTTGATGACAGGCACCGCAAGGTCTGATTGCAGAAAGCATGAAAGATGGGAGGCAATGGTACAGGCCATCTTTGGAAACAATCTACCGCACTCTCCAATAGTCTGGATAAGGGCTAAAAACAGATGTGGGTCCAGAGACGAGGGAATGGATTTGAGAATATATAAACAATTGAATCTGCTGGATTGAATCCAGTGGCTGATTGGACGTGGGAGGTGCGAGAGAGAGGAGTTGAGGTTTTTGTCTTGGGTGCTAGGTGATGACCAACTTGGAACTGAGATAATAAGAGAGGCGGAGTTTCAGGGCAAGATGAGAGACTGGTTTTGGACATGTGGGGTTTGAAGTGCCCCGTGTAGAGCACTGTGGGTGGGAGGCACATCTGGCAGAGTCAGGAGCTTGAGGGTCTTCAGCTTGCTTATATGTGGCAGGAAAATAGTGAGGAGAAAGTGAGATTGTACAGAGAGAGAAGGGAAGGGTGCCTAAGGCTTCCGTTAGAGGTCCAGTCCGGGCTCACGCCTGTAATCCCAGCACTTTGGAAGGCTGAGGTGAGAGGATTGCTTCAAGTCAGGAATTTGAGATCAGCCTCAGCAACATAGTGAGACCCTGTCTCTACAAAAACTAGAAAAATTAGTTGGGAGTGGTGGCGTGTGCCTGTAGTCTCTGCTAGTTGGGTGGCTGAGATGGGAGCTATGATCGTGTCACTGCAATCCAGCCTGGGTGACAGAGTGAGACCCTGTCTCTAATTTTATTTATATATATATATATGGGCTGGTTTGAGGGCTGGTTGAGATCAAGCCCCAGAATGTGAGGGAGGCTGGCCTTGAAAGGCCTCCCCTGGGGGTTGGGAACTTGGATCCAGGGGCAGGCCGGATGAGAAGCTGAGGTTGTCTGCTGAGCATTAGTGGGTGAGACTTCGTGAGAATGGCGAGGGTTTGGAACTGCCATGGAGGGGAGGAGAAATGTGTGAGGCTTGGCCTTTGTAGTGAAGCTCATCTACATTGTGTGGGCTGTATGTCCACAGCTGGGGGCAGGATGGGAGCTGCTGGGTTGACCCTGGCTTAGCGTTTTGTAAGGATAGGTGCTGAGGGGCCAGGCTGCACCGTGGAGGAGCTGATGAAAGTGGTTACTGTGCCCAGCCACAGGGCCGAAGCGGAGAAGGTAATGACAGAAGGCGGGCGGTGGAGGAGGTAGGAGGGGAATGAAGAAACTGGAGGTCTCCATGAGGTTGGTGGGCTGGGTGGTGGGGATGGAGCTGAGCCAAAGCCACAGAGTGAATGGTCCAAGCTTACAGTTTCTAGGCATCGTGGTTCGGCTGATGACAAGTCCTGGGCGTGACCCTTTGAAAGGGCTGTCTCACGTGGAGCAGAGGTGAAAACCACTGGAACTGGGGAATTCAAGGACCTCAAGGTTAATACGTGGTTAGGACATCTGAGTGTTCCCCAGAGCTCTCGGGATGCTGTCTCTGTGGGTGGGAAGAGCTACAGAAGTTTATTAGAGAATGTAGAATAAAGAGTTAAGGCCTGAAGAATGATGTGGACAGAGGATGTGTGAAGGTTGGATTCAGTGTCAGTGTTCTGCCAGAATCTTCTATTCAGCCCAGGTTAGCTCTTTAACTTCCATTTCGGCCTCGTGAAGTTGAATAGCCAGATGCCTACCTCGGGATCATCTTTGGCGTCCCTGAACTTGCGGGTGATTAATGATCACATGACTCTGTAGGTTACTGTCATATTAAAACAACCTGAATTCAAGAATCATGAACAGGCATGTCATTTCTGATTTAATGGTGACACTGGAATAGTCGCTGTGGAACACACGTAAGCATTTTATAATAGAAGTAATTTGGAGGGGAGAATCTTCGTGCAGGGTTTGAAGGTTGAAATTCTATCAGTCGGTTGAATAAATGTATACTTATTATTGTAAGAGTGAAATGCTTCTGTAGTGAATGGTGATTGTGAAAGCTATTTTCTAAATAAAAATAAGTGTTAGGGGAAAAAAAATGAGGTTTTGTTCTCAATAATTGAACCCTTCCAAGCCACAGATTTCGTAAGAATATTTTAAGAAAAGGCTAGGTGCTGTGGCTCACGCCCGTAATCCCAGCACTTTGGGAGGCCGAGGCAGGTGGATCACCTGAGGTCAGGAGTTCAAGAGCAACGTGGACAACATGGTGAAACCCTGTCTCTAACAAAAATACACAAATTAGGGGGGCATGGTGGCATGTGCCTGTAATCCCAGCTATTTGGGAGGCTGAGGCAGGAGAATCACTTGAGCCTGGGAGGCAGAGGTTGCGGTGAGCCGAGACTGTACCACTGCACTCCAGCCTGGGCAACAGAGCGAGACTCCATATAAAATATATATATATGTGTGTGTGTGTGTGTGTGTGTGTATACATGTATATATATATACGTATATATACATTTATATGTACATATATTTATATATGTGTATATATATTTATATATGTATATATATTTTAAGATAGTTCCTCGTAGTTTTGAATCTATGGAGGTTAACTATTTATACAGAAATGCTTGTGGAAACAGTTGATATAGATGCCAGCCATTTCTAGCAATTGGAGGTGAAGGCATTTTGAGATCACATCGAGCTGAGGATCTTAGGTACAAAGTTATTTCTAGGAAAACATTACTGGAAACAAATTTTCTTGAATTACAATTTGCAGTACTTGAAAACTGAGAGATCCTATTAAATGTGCAA